CATGGGGGCCTGGTCCTTGTCAGCATTGGCCTCCGGCAAGAGAGGGGCAACCGCAGGAGCTGCGGCGTAGAGAGCAGTGGTGCCATGAAAAATGTTATATAAATATATAAATAATATATATATATATATATATATATACTGTACAACATCTAATATGTCACATGACGCAGGCCTTGTCCTTGTCCGCATTGGCCTCCAGCCCAAGCCGTACAGCCTCGAACTGTCCATTCTGAGCTGCGATGAACAAAGGGGTGGCGCCAGTTTCCAAGGCCTTGTCCTGGTCCGCATTGGCCTCCAGCACCAACCGCCTTCATGAGCAACATGCGCAGCTGCGCCATCCGATGTTGGCGTTGTCCTTGCCTGCCTATCTCCAGCAAGCTCTGTCCGAGCTGTGATTTCGCGAGGCGCGTTTGTGGCTACTCCGAGGCCGGGCAGTCCTTCAGCTCCTCCTGCGGGGCTTTCCCAAACCGGTGTTCACTCATTTAGTTGTTATGGGGGGGAAAGGCGGGCTGGAAGAGCTTGAAGTGGCTTCAATTCTGCGTCGAAAGGCTTATGTGTAGTGTAGTTCCTGAAGATGCGGAAACCTTCCTTAAGATGCAGAAACCTGACTTAGACGCCCATATCGCCAAGACAAGATCCGACTTTCCGGGGTTAAAAAGCAACCGGCTCGAGGCTAGATGCCCTGCACATGGTTTTTTCGGGTTTCAGGTTTAGAGGTTGAGAGTTTAGGCTTTGAGGGTTTAGGGTTAAGGGGTTGAAGGGGTTTTGCGCTTAACCTCTCGATACGGTCCGGAGCAGAGACAGCGAAACCAATTTGCGCGCTTTCGCGCTTTGATAAGATTCGGGGGCTCTTTGGGCTTGGTGCTTTTACCCCAGGGATCAAAATAGCCCAAAAGCCTTATATAGTATGGTCTTTGGGCCCGAAAGCCTAAATATAGGAGGCCTTAGATCCCTAGGGCTAGTAACCCTGTTGATATGACTTCTGCGGCTTCGGGCCCGGGATCTGCTGGGAACAAGGTTTTGAGAGTTTAAGGCTCCGGGTTCAGGGTTTCGGGTTTAGAGTTTGGCGGCATAGAATGCTGGATTGGATGTTGCGGATTACGGCTGTAGAGTTCAGGATTTAATACTTCCAGGCTTCCGATACGTAAGCCTGAAGGTGTAAAGACTAAAGAGTCTGGGAGTTTTCTGCAGTTGGGTGAATGCCTAAACCCTAAACCCTAAGGACTTTGGGTTTAGGCCCAAGTTTATGCTCTAGGGCTGAAACTGCTTGGAATCTTTGGGGGTTGAGGATTGCCGAGCAGGCTTAAAGATTTGCTGTAGGGTGAAAGGCCTTCGGGTTGACTTTCGGTTATGTACTCGAGCTTCGCCTCCGTACTTTTCGCAGGTCAGCGATCTCAGCAAAACCCGAACCACTCTTAAACTCTATGGCGGAGCCTGAAAGTGTCGGGGCTCTGCTTTGGTAGCCGTGGCAAGTACATGACTTCGGGGCTCTCCGGCTTGGATATTGAAGACGCCTGCGTTGATTTCGGTTTACCGGCTATGTGCTGACCGTGGCCGGGGAGAGACAGTAGTTCAGGGGTTTTGGCTTTGGGGCTTGGGCCTTTAGAATGACGTACTGGCGAACATAATCGTCGCTGACATACTACTACGCTATGGCCAGGCCTGACCAAAGCTAAACCAGTGGTTCACCCCCGACGAAAGCCTGGGCTACACTAAGCGTCTGTGCCCAAGGCCTTGGCAATGATGAGCCGCCTTGAGGCTCTGCGGAGACTCCAGTCGAACCTCGGCCGACTGCATTAAGAACACTGGCTTCTCAAACTCTGAACTCCAAATCACAAACTTCGAACTAAACGTCCGAAACCCATTAAGTCTCCTAATGCAGATCATGGTGCTGGCCACCATCTCCAGCAGTGGGACTTCCACCACGCTCATGGTGCCAGCCATCCCGCTGCCGCTGGCAGTGGACGCGATGGCTGACAACACCGTATGCAGTCTTGCGTGAAAGCCTTCAAGTGGACAGGGGACCCCAGAACGGCAACAGTTTGCACCCTAAGCCCTAAACCTCTAAACACTTTAATTGTCGCCCCAGACCTGCAACAACTTACAACTTCGTGAAACCCAAACTGCACAGCTGAGTCGGTTGCGGGGTCGATCGGCTTGCGAGTGCGGATGCGGCCGAGCAGCCCCGACATGCACTGAGATCTGCACCTCACATCGTGACCTGAAATCTTCGGGCAAACCCTTTTTTGCAATTGGGCTTGGGGACCTATTACCCTGAACCTAAGCAACCTGAAAACCGAGCGGTGTGTGTGTGGGTGTGGGTGTGGGTGTGGGTGTGGGTGTGGGTGTGGGTGTGGGTGTGGGTGTGGGTGTGGGTGTGGGTGTGTGTGTGTGTGTGTGTTGTGTGTGTGTGTCTGCTGCTGATTGCAATCGAGTCGACCTTTGGCTTATCGTTGATATACGGGTCTTAATACAGTAATTGGAAAAGGGTCTTGGGGGAAATAGTTGTTGGCCATTTAAAGACTCGGAAAAGTTCGTAAATAAGATCCTCTTAAGCCCACCAAAGGAAAATATCAAGTATCCCAAAGGCCTACCAAGTAGTTCCTTAGGCCCCCATATATGGGCAGTTCTCTGATAGTACGGAACCCTCATAAAAGGGACCCTAAACGGGACCCCCCATTTAGAGAACTACCCATACTACCCGGCTCCGGGTCCGGAGCTCAGAAGGACATCGAGTTCGAATCGAAGCCCCAAACCCTAAACTAGGCCCTCAACTCGAGCCCTTACACCCTAAACCACTACCCCCTACCTGGAGGCCCTTTTGACTTAGTAAGTCTACTTAGTATCCCCTAGAAACCCCATTATAACCCCCATAACCCACCTTACTAACCCTACTTACTAAGTCAAAAGGGCCTCCAAGTATGAGCCCTAAAATGAAACCTCCAGGGATCAGGTCTTAGCTTGGGGGGAGGAGGGGGGGCCTTGGAAATAGTTTAGAGGTCTCACCTTCTCCCCAAACCCTACGTTGACCCTATAGATGCACCGTTCTTTTTTTGATTGGGGGTCCTACCCTAAACCCTAAACCCATGCGTTTACTCAAGACGACGGTCGTTGTTGCAGGGATCAAGATAAACACGGAACGTCTTTGGCCGGGCTGCACGTCTGACCAGCACACCAGCCGCACGCGACTCAATGGGGCAGCGGTCGCGCCAGTGTCCTGAAATTCAGGATTTGGGCTTATAAGCGATGGGATATTTAGGGATTAGGGTTTATAGGGTATAGGGGGACTAGATGATTAGGGTTTAGACTTCATAGTGTTCACAACTAGACCTCACATGAGAGTAATCCTCATAAAGCCCCAGGCCGCGACCCCGATGTGCCCAAGCGCCCAGCTGAAGACAGCTTCGACAAACGTAGCTAGAGTCTAAAATTCAGGGTTTAGGGTTTAGGGGCTTCAGGACCAAGAGATATTGGGTTTACGAGTGGTTTGGCTTCGGGTGTGAGGTCTGGCCTGGCTGAATCCTGACAGCGAAACGACAACTTCAGAGGTTGGCAATACAGCTTGACAATACAATGATGGGCGCCTGTTGCTTCTGTTGACGCTGCCGGCGACCAAGGCGTTGAGATGCTTGAAAATTGCACCGATGGACTGCAACTTTGCAGATGCCGACTTGAGGATCTGCGGAGACTGCAGTCGAACCTCAGACGACTGCAATCAACACAAGCAGAGCTTGGAAGCACACATGGAGATGCTTGATGGAGTGCAACGAGCCCTTCAAAACCACATACTAAGGAGTTCCAGACTGAGATATGGGTATCAACAAAGCTTCGAGACAGCGGATTCCTTACCTACAACAGGCACAATATCAGCCACTTTTGGAGAGCTTCACACCTAGATCCAATTAACCTCTGTTCGCGCAGGATCGCTGGGGTGCCTGATGCTGCAACAATCAACTCGGTTCTGAACTCCTGCCCGAATTTATTCTCTTCATGGCAAACACCGTCAGAATCTGCCATGCAATTGCATTCGAAGGTACTGCCGGCACGTGGCCAAGAACACACGACATGTCCATGCGTTATGGCAGGTCAAGCTGAGGGAAGGACCCTCCACCGGCGCAGAATCATGGCACGTCGCGTGTGCTTCTCCGAAAATTTGGAATCGCAGCGCGGTTACCGGTCCGCTGCGGAAATGGGATTCCGTGCATAAATTGCCAAGTACAAAAGGTAATCTGAGAACTCGGAAAAGGATGTCGCCTGGCGGCCGGCACCCTGTGTCTTACCACCTCGCGTGAGCTTCTGCCAGAGCGCCCTGGGCCGAACTTCCAGTATCCCGGCCCTAAAGTTCTGGGCCCTCCCCCAAGAGTCCAAAGGACCCAACAACTAGGTACTCGGTTTTAGGAGAGTAGTTATGTAGGTTAGGATTTTGGAGAGTGTATGATTAATAGGTACTTGGACCCTTGGGCCCTCTCCTTTGGGGTACTGGCGACATGCAGGGTATCTGCTGCGGATTATAAAATAAGCAGGCGACTCCACGCCTCTTGCTGCACCATGCGTTTTGGGTGTATAGGGTTTCTAGCCCCTAGACCCCAAACGCCCGCGAAAGGATTGAGATACGCTCGCGAAAGGGTTGACTTGATAAAATTCGATAGAAACTTCTGGATGCCACGTCATTGTCTACACCGATACCGCGAAAGCAGGTATAAGCCAGACATGAACCACAGCAGCGCCGGAGCCCTTACAGGCTGTAGTGAACCCCAGAAAATTGGAACATGGATTTACCCAGAGGCTCCATAGTAGTTCCTTTTTGGGATTACCTTATAGGATTCTATATGAATCCCAAAGAGGAACTACTTTGGAGCCTTTGGGCAAGATGATTGATGCCAGGATTTGCTACGGTTTGCCTCAAGGGCATCAGGAAAACTATGTTCCAACTTTCTAGCTTCTACCAATTATACATCCTAAACATTGTATACCCACATCCCATACCTGCTTTCGCATGCTCAGGCGTCAAGGCAGGCTTTGATGCGGAGACGTTGGAGCTCTTCCTGTAGGCGACGTCGAATGTCCGGCTCAATGCTCAGGGTGAACATGTCACCTGAAGTTCGGGGTCTGTGGTTCAGGTGGTTTAGGGCTAGGGTTTGAACCGGTTTGGTGGTGCCAGATTGAACCGAAGGTATTTCAATCTTACAACGTTTGCAAATTCAAGCATATGAAGTCACCCAGCATGGCAGACACGGACATGACAGCGACCTTCTCGTGAAGTCGCGAGCCCGTGGATCCTGACGACTCTTGGGCTTCGTGACATAGCCCTTCCTCAATGACATCCACAAGACCCGTCACCTGCGAAGCTAACTCCGGAACTTTCTGCACCTTTTGGCGCAAGCTATCACGAAGCAACCGCAGCTTCTCGGAGCCCTTCATGCGATTCATCCTCTCACGAGTGCGCTTCGAAAATGACTGCGGCTTGTCGTTGTCGTGGGCATGATGGCAGTACTTGCAAGCCATTCCATTTCGGCACGTGCCCAATGCCAGGAAAAGGCAAGGCCGGCGGCAGAAATAGGGATGCCCGAGGCTCCCGGCGACATCTGAGTCTTGGTGACAAGCCACTTCAATGCTTTGCAGTGCCGGTGTTGGGGTAAAGGCGATGTCACCTGAGTTTTCCCCCAGAGCCCTGCGTGGGATGGCAAGTGGGAGTGAGAGCCTGGCCTCGTCCAGGAGCCCTGCCAAGTAGTCGTCCTCGCAGTGAGCCGTGTTGCCAGGATCCGTCGACATTGCCGGCGTGCTCGCGCAACGCTTGAGACTCGGCGACTGCTCCTCGACATCGATGAAAGTAAACTTGGACTTGAGCTTCATTACACCAAGCTGGGCTGGCGGAAGCATGGGTTCACAAGCGGGCCGACTGGGCAAAGATGATAAAGCGGGAATTGAAACAATTGGAAAGTCTTGAGCCCACGAAGGCAGAGCCGCAAGGGACCACTTGCTTCTCCAATCCTGAGCCCCAAATCACAAAATCGAACTAAACATGCTAGACACAAGTCTCGTAATGCAGATTTATGAGGTGGTGCCAGCCATCTCGCTGCCGCTAGCAGCGGACAACGCCGCATGCAACATTGTGTGCAAACCGTCAAGTGAACAGGGACCCCAGAACAGCAAAAGTTTGCACCCTAAGCCCTAAACCTCTAAACACCTTGACCCCTAAACCCCTAAACTCCTAAACACCTTGATCCTCGCCCCAGAACTGCAACAGCTTACAACTTCGTGAAACCCGCACTGCACACGGTTGCGGGGTCGATCGGACTGCGAGTGCGGATGCGGCCGAGCAGCCCCGACATGCACTGAGATCTGCACCTCACATCGTGACCTCAAATCTTCGAACCGTGAACCCAAAACCCTAAGCCCCAAACCCAGTCCGTCCTCCTCGGCTTCAAGTTTTCGACAAGTGTGGTTCTGTTCTGTGGTTCGCAACCGACCGGGTCGAATCGAAGACCTAAACTAAGCGCAATAAGCCCCAAACCCTCAACCCCGGGAGGGGGGGGGTGTTTCGAGGCTCGGAGGGTTGCCGAGACAGCCTTCTGGGGGGTTGAGGGTTGCGGGTTTCGGGGTTATTGCGGGTTTAGGGTTTAAGGGCTTATAAGCGTTTTGGGGTTTATGGTTTACGGGGTGTGGGGGGTCAGGGCTGTAAGGTTTGGGGCTAAAGTGGGCTTCAGGGTGCCTTGGAGTTCATTTAGGTCTCACTTCTCCCCTACTTGGAGGCCCTGTTGACTTAGTAAGTCTACTTAGTATCCCCTAGAAACCCTATTATAATCCCCATAACCCACCTTACTAACCCTACTTACTAAGTCAAAAGGGCCTCCAAGTAACATTGCAGCACGTGGGCCCTCATACGTCTACTTTTTGTATTGGGGGGTTCCTCGAGGTCCTTATGTGTTTACTTACAACGGTCGGGCTTGAAGGGATTATGATTAAGGCACCCTAAACCCTTAAACCCTAAACCCCAACGCGGAAAGTGTCGGCCGGGCTGCCCGTCTGACTAGCGCACCAGCCGCACGCGACTCAATGGGGCAGCTGTCGCGCCAGTGTCCTCAGGTTTAGGGTTATGCATGGCTCAAGGCCTACCACAATTGGATGTTCAGGGATTAGAACTTGGACTTTTTAGGCTTTACAGGTGTTAGGGCGCAGGTAGGGGTTCCAGTAGGGTTTATTAGGATGAAACGTGAGGGCCAGTGTCGACTGACGCTGCGAAATAAACCTCATCTTAAGGTAATCCTCATAAAGCCCCAATCCCGGACTCGGATTGTGCCACAGCGCCCGGCTGAAGACAGCTTCGACAAACATAGGATGCGGGAGGTACCTCCATCCGCCATGACAGGGCGAAGACATGTTGGGTTTACGAGTGGTTTGGCTTCGTTCAGGGCAAGGGGTGAGATCTGGCTGAATCCTGGCTAGTGGCAGTACGGTGAAACAACAAGACATGTTGTAAACACGGCTTGACAATACGAGTCACTAACTGTCGCGGATCTCAACCCACTCGAAATCTGTTACCAACCCTTTGCCCGAGTTCCGAATTCCCTGAAGGTATTTCTGTATTCGTACATGATATGTAAATATAATATAATAATATATATATATATATATATATATATAAGAATAATCACACTTTTCTCTTTGGGACTACAAGCGATCCGATATGACGGCCAACGGTACATACTATACAGGCACTATAGGGGCCTTAAAGACTACAACCGACTAGAACCTGCTTTTTCGCGGATACCATGCTACGAGTTATACTGGGGATTATACAATACTATTCGCCATGGTTGCGACCCCTGTATTACGCATACCCCTACAGATTGCCGAACACACTGGACTCTTCAACTTCGGCTCAGACGCTAAACCCTAAACGCCTAAACCCCCAAACCCTAAACCCGAAAACGTTCTGCAAAGCTGGGACGGCGCGCTCCCCGGCGCTGCCGAAAGAACTTCGCTACTTGTGGAGCGCCTTGGGTTCGTTCAGGGTTGGGTTTAGGGTTTAGGGTCCATTGAAGGTGTAGGGCTTACGGTCCTGAATGGCGTCACTAATTACGCTTCACAAGCTACACGAGCTTATGGTTGTGGGGTTTGCATGAGGGCGTAGGGGTCTCGGCAGTAGGCCTGCTCTCATATAAGGGCCTTAATCATGAGAATAGGGTTTGGGGGCCCATTTTTCTACATTCATAACAAGGAACCCCCATAACAGTATAGCTAATTATTAAGGCCCCTGTGGCACATGCCCTACCACGTCTCAGGGACTGGATCACATGGCTGAGAGGCTCGTGAAACCGAAGTCTGACAATATAGAGGGTTCTTAATGAATACAATAGGGTTCTGTGGTATACTATACTGTAATTATTACGTAAGGCCCCTATATTACTCTTCTGAAAACCCCAAACTCAGGCATCGGTTCGGCGGATCAACCCTACCAAGAAGTATGAACAAGCAGTAATGTCAATGTGCCCTCTCGCCACCGACAGAGTAGAGAGTATATGATTACACGATACTGCATTACTCCCTAAACCCTAATACCTAAACCCTAAACCCAAAACCCTAAACCGCTCGATTCGAACAATCCAACCCGAAGCCCTAAAGCCCAAACACGGAATCCTAATCCCTGAATCTTAAACTTAAGACCTCCAGGTCGATACTTTACAGTAGAAGCCCAAAAGTTGGAAACCCCAATAGCCTCCATCCTTAAGAGTTACTATAACGGCTACTATAAGGGTATAGTATAGGAGGCCTTAATAGTTACCTATAATATGGTAGAAGGCCAAAAGTTGGAAACCCAGTAGCCTCATTCCTTAAGAGTAATGTATAGGGAATCCCAGCACTATTTGGCCTTAATCCAGTTTCCAACTTTATGGGGTTTATTGTAAGGCTGTTAGGTTAGGGCCTGAGATTCCGATAGCCAAGGTGCCCTGCTGCTGTGCTGCAGGTTTCTCCTGAGGCAGAAGGCCCAGATCTAAAGAACCGTTACAGGAACTCCTGTAGCTTCTTGAAGGACCCCTTATAGTACCCTTAAGGGGCTTTTAGTACCGATAAATGGAACCCTCACCCAGATTCTTCCCATGGAGATCTTTTGTAAACCAGCAAAGGGTCCTTAAATCGACGAGTATCTGCTGAGTATCAAGGCACATGGGGCTTCATGAACCCCTTCTAGTTCGAAGAGAGCGCACAACCTGCGACGATTAGGGGTCCTTTTCTAAAAGGGTGCTACTTCTAGAAAAGTGCCAAAAGTTATTCAACTCTATGCATTCTAGACCTTGGGGTTAAATAGGGGGCCGGGGGCAAATTAAAAAATTATTTATGTTTTGATTGATAACATCATAAGCAGCAGCATCAAGCATCAGCAGGCACAGACACACACAACAACCAGACACATCACCAGAGCAAAACGTCAACGATACGCAACGATACGACAGCGACAGCAAGCCTGTCAATGTTTTGCCACGCTGCCAGCAAAACCCTCTGACTCTGTTCTCGGGCTTGTCCCCGGGCCCTTGTGATTTATGCGAGGGGCATTTTGTCAATGTCTGTCCATAGTAGGCTGTGCAATGATAGTAGTATTATTTAACAATCTCTAAGCAGCCGCAGTTTTAAAACACCCCTCGGACCTGATGGTGAAACTTGTCCCCAAAACTTACAAGCACGACCCGAAGCTGTCCAATAGCTCGGACCGCTGCTCCTCCGCATCACCATCTGCTATCTGGCCCAAATCTGGGAAATGGAGCCAACACAGCAACCTGAGGCGCCGTCTAGCAGAAAACAATGCTTTCTCCCAGCACGTCTTTCCGACGTCTGACATAGGATCCGGCAAACAAGATCGGACGAATGCCTCGGGCAAGCGGGAACACATCTGTACAAGGGAGGTCACGAAAGCGGTCCGCTTATCTTGTCTCTGGGTCCTTGAATGGGCTGCGATTTGCTTGAGAGAAGAAGGATTGTGAAGCCACCATAAGAGCCTGAGAAGCCTTCGGGCACGCAAACATTCATATCTCCACTCTTTCTCGGTGAAGTCGTCTCTTGGATCCGGCAACAACGATCGAAGAAACTGCTCGGGCAAGTCAGGACACAACTTGGTCAGGATGTTGTCCACATAGACCTGCGGTTGTAGGATCCTCCATGCGGCTGCTTCTTCGGTCTCACTCATCCTGACCCAGTGCTTTCTCGGACATGGGTCTTGCCTGTCTATCGGTCCTGCGGGAAACGGCATCGTGCTGAAAGACTGAACTTGTACAGGCTGGTGGTGAATTGACGTCGGACTCGAAAGGCAGCCGACTCGCTTAGGCTCCTTCTGGCAGCCCGAGATTTTGGGCCAGCTGCCCTCGGGCCCGGGGAACAGCTCGGACACAACCTTCATAGGCATCATAGTCGGACAGCTTCGTGTCCACGAGCCCTACCTGTGCCGAGTTGCAACCCTGAGCCGAAAGCAGTCGGCAACAGGAGTTGAGGGGTTGAGGACGCACATGCCGAAGGGAGAGTTGGAAACGTCTCATCGGCCCGGCTACGTGGGTTGCAAAAGTTTTCCGCTGATGCAGAAATGCTTGCTCGGCCACTGCTCAGGTTTCCAGCTGAATGAACCTGCAGAGGACAGGGGAAAAGACTGTGAGTCACCTTTGCGACACACTTTCGGATTGGCACTCTTGGCCCCCGGCCGCTTTTACAGGGGCGGACCTCAGGTCAGCACAACGACGAACTCATGATTAGCAACTAGCTTTAAGCATGTACTCACGAGACTGTCCAGCAAGGCTCCACAAGCATTTTACATTTATTTTACCAGAACCCGCTTCCGGTATTAAAGAAGCCGAGCACCCAGCTCACGCACTGGCCCAAGATATGCCGCCAAGTTCAAAGTCGCTTTCACTCTTAACACAACCTCGGTTTCGGATGAAAAGCACTCGGGCATATTCGGGCAAAGGCGTGCCTCAGTCCGCACGTCCCCCAAAGCCTTTGAAACATGTGGTTCAACAGGGGGCGTCTTTTGTTATGTAGGAACCTGAGTAAGAAACCCTGGGCCTATAACCCCAAAACAGTAGGATTCATAACTTGTAAGGCAATATAAGGAACCCTAAGACAGGCCCAACGTTGCTCATTCGGGTTCCTACATTAATTAAGCCCAACATGGCGAATCTACAAATCAAGGTGTACCTGGGTTTGCAGTTGCTTCCACTGCTTTCTACACTACCCAAAGACTTTCTGTCAAGTGTCTCGGAGTCCCAGGTAGGTCTTCAAATATCCTTGTTGTTATTCCCTGACATCAAAGGCTATTCGAAACCTGAAGCTTCATCCCATAGCTCAACAAACCACATGAAATCTCACAGAAGAGACAGTACCCAAGTTTCGTTGGGTATAGACCCAAATCTTAAACCGAGAGCCCCATTCTGTGAAGGCCTCGTCAGGGGTTTAGGGCTTAGGGTCTGGGGTTTCGGGAGGGGTCTTTTTGTTCTGTTTCTTTCAAGATGTTTCTAGAGGTTTTACAGTGTGTTTCTTTGCAAATAAGGCTTTAGGCGTGTAATTACCGACTACTCCCCCAAATACGCAGCTACCAACTGCCGATTTAGGGGAATTTTCCGAGAATAAGGTTCCTCGAATGCCCGATGATCTGTCGAAGGAAGCCTCTGCCTGTGTGCCGAAACACCTACCTGGCTAGGGTACTTGTTGTTATGATAGTTTCTATACAGAGTTCCGTAAAGCGGTAGGGTTTTTCGCCGGAGGTAACCCTAAGCTCTAAACGAAGAAATCTTTAGAGTGACATCAGGCTCCGTCACCTGGTATTTAAGGGGAATAGGGTTTGCGGTTTTGGGTTTAGGGTGCATGCGGAACCCTTACAGCCTCATAGCCTTCAAGCATGTTATATAGGGGTCTTTAGTCATTACCTGTACTATTTTCGGGATCTCTCATTCTAACCACAGTTTACTGGGCGCCAAAACCTTGTTTCTCGCTGGCAATGTTGCTGATCGTGTGTTGTAACAGTGTGATCTGTTGGACCGATCGGGTTTAGATCCGCCACTAGGAAATAAATCTAAAGACAACTCCGCAGATGTTACAGACTTTCAGCGGAGCATTTACCAATAGCATGGGGTGCTTTAAGGGTCTTGTGGACCAAGTTTGCGCAGCATCCTGCGGGTTCAGGGTGCGTTCTGCAGGAGTAGCATAGACGGTTTTGCAAGATTCAATAATCTGAAACCCTACATCATACATTATCCTGAGGCTGGTACCCCGTTTTCGGCTCAGAAGCGTGGAGCCTGTGCCAGGCAGTGACTCAACCCACTCGGCACCTCAATCTTGCAGGCGACGCATGCTGAGACTCTCTTTTGGCGAAAGCATCTCAACAGGCCCGGTTTGATTGGATCGGACATCTGCCGGAAGATGAGACCACTGCCTGCAAGAATACGTGACATCTAAGTTGGTAGCCTCGACCTGGGCTCCATTCATGATGAATAGTCTGTACGTGCAGTCAGGGTCCCAATTTCGGGCAGTCGTAGCAAAGTCTGCTGAAAATCCCTGGCTGGCATTCTCGGTCAAAATGCGGCAGTTGCAAACTCACGTATCGGAAAATGCTTGTTAAGTCGGGCTGCCACCACCATGCCACCAGTCACTTCAGAAGAATTTTCACTCGGCCTCAGAGCTGACATCGGATAGGCCCTCCTCCCCGTCGTCGTTCTCTTCATTCTCGTCCTGCCCCATGTCTTTGATGACTTTCTGCCATTCCTCCGACGAGCGACTCAGATCGTAATGCGTTCCTTATACAACTGTTTGCAAGGGAATCTCAAGGGTTTGGACATGCATGTAAATTGGGTTCTAGTTACAAAATGTTCCAGTTTTGGGTAATCGGTGGCAAGGGTGGTTGTAAGATTGAAGCCGAACGAGATAAAGGGATTGGGTTTCAGGATCTCACTTGTGAACGGTTTTCAAGTAAGTGATGATCTCTCCTACTCAACGGGGCATGGGCTTGCCACTGTATGACAATGAATACTCAAGGGATTCGGTTTTGAGCTTTGCATTGTGTATACGTCAAAGCGTCCTCGGACACGGCGGGATCGTGGAGCGGGCTGCCGTCGGACTTCATCGCGATCCTCAGCAAGTTTACTACGTAGAACGGCCACAGTGGCTGCTCCAACCCCTGGCCCCGCTCTAACAACTTTGAGTGCCTTACGCCAGCAATGCCGGAAGCTGCGTGTTGAACAACCAATCCTGGTGCGTCTCGTTTCGGGCGAGACCACAGTAGAGCCTTGGAGTTTCACGGAGGATGCAACTGTTCGAGCACGCCGCCCGTCGTCCCTACCTGAATTTCTAAGCTTGATGCGCATTGCGCTTTGCACAAACCAGGGCCAGCTGGCCGTCGCCGGGAGTCAAGTCAATTACGGCTCGGGCATTGATGCCTTTGCTCGTCAATGAGAACCGGGTGCAAAAAAATCAAAGTCAAAAGAACAAGTGTACCCGCAGAAAGGCTAAAGTTCAAATCAGATACTGTGCATAAGCTCGGACAATACCGCTTCGGAGTCTGCATGCCAAAACAAAGGCTCCTTACCTGCATGCTTCTCTTGCAGCCACTTCTGGAGCCTTTTGCTTGACTTCTTCTTGGTGTGTTCCTCGGTCATTGCTGCTTTGCTGCGCAAAGGCATGTTTCTACACTACTTGCAGTAGATTTCCCGCGATTTTGCCAAGACACCCCCGAATCGTGCAAGGGAGACAAAATCTTCTCCTTCAGATCCTTGTCGACATACGTTAGCTTGCTCAGCTTTGGCACGATGACATCTTCCAAGACGTCACTGGAAGTCTTGCCTTTGCCAATTGATCGGTCGCAGACCTGCGACATTGAAATTGTCATGTAGGAACACACCAAGATGCTGCTGCCTGCCGCGCAAAAACAAGACATCGAGCCGTGAGCCTTGACCAAACTCTTCCAAGGCTCCTTCGGAGAGATGAAGAAACAGTTCTCAACTCTCTTCAAGGAACCTTGGCTCTCAGGGCTTGCCCATACACGTTTCCTGTTGTCAATGAAAAACTGAAGTTTAAGACTCAGTTCAGTAGCCGAACCCTCTGCTCGGATACCGGCTTTCCATCTCGGACGCTGAAGAAACCAGAAGGAGCTCCTGGGAATCACACACGACGACGAGTCTAGGCAAGTCGCATGTTTAGGGCTTTAGCGCTCACTACTCGGACAATCCAGTTTAGGGTTTAGAGTTTAAGGTTTTTTCGGTCCTTGCGGTTCGGAAAGTATCCCTGACTCGAGCGATCCGTTGGGAATAGCGACGTGATTTTGGACCTTGTGAGCGGCGAACGGCCGTCGAGCAAGACAAAAACCTCGGACGAGTAACTGAACGAACCAGTTAACGAAGCTCATGCAGTGAATGCAATGCTGGTGGATTTGACTAGACCCTAAACCCTGGACAAAAACTCAGGTTCACACCCATCGGTTCGTAACGAAAGGCTCGTCCAAGAGCTGCTTCGCCACCTCGAGCGGCTTGAAGGGCTTGTCCGTCAGCCTCCGCTGTTGCTGCTGCACACCATGATGCAACCAGAAACACTAAACCCTAAACCCTAAACCATCAACCCTGGACCCTAAACCCTGGACCCTATCAGACAACGCCAGTATTCGCTTCATGCCAGCCAAGACTCGGAGGGAAAGTCGCGTAAGCCCTCGTCTTACTCTCGGTCCACATCTTCGGATTCACGAAGATCACGCCTGTCGTGTTCTTCTTCAACTCGGCCTTTGCGGTGACGGTCTGGGTGAAGATCTTGGCAATGGACTCGGGCGAGCTCATTGCTGGGGGCGTCAGCAGCTCGAAAAGCTTGGCCGTCTTGGCCTTCGCCATGGATAGCAGCTTTTCTTTGAGCTCTGCGGCCTCGGACATCGGCTGGAGATTTGCACTCGACTCAGCACCGCCATCACCACCATCGCTGGTAAACAGACTGAGGATATTAAGCGCCGTGGGCGGGAAGTCCTTGTTCTTTTGCTCCTCAATCTTGGTCATGACATCGGCGAAAGAGCCATAGCTGAGCATGTCGGTCACCGAGGCGCCGGGCTGGTTTTTCGCCAGTCCACGAAGGCTCGCATCGAACTCACCGCCCTGCCAGTTCTATTCAAACGGAAACGTACAGCGATACGACCACATGTAGCTGCCGATATCAAACGAGAGCATTCCCACACAATCACACCTGACCCCTCCAAGCTATGACTTGTCAGCCCGCTCACATGACTAAATTGCGTCGCGGCACTAAGTCTATCTTTTCTAATCTTGCACGCATCCGCAAAAAAAAACTACACATCAGAAACTTCGAAGCATAATGACGAGTTACCTGACAGAGCCATGCTAAAAATCACAAGTCCTATCGGGAACATAGTATGGACGACTCCTTGTTCCGAACAGCTGCAAAATGAAGATGACGAGCCGCCTGAATCTCGTGCATCAGGTCCAACACCATCTGGACCGACTTCTTCTCGGCCGCCATCCAAACGCAAGATCCGGCATATGTCTCGTCGTGCTTCTCCGGGTCCAGAACCGCGCTTCGTGCCTGCTGCTGCGACTCGGGCGCCGCGATGCACTTCAAGATGAGTTCCTTCATGTAGCTGTACCGCCAGCACAGCGTCTCCCAAAGGCCCACCTTTCCTCGGCCGCCGACAAGAATGTCCTTGCCCATGACAGTTGAGAAGTGGCCCTTGAGAATGCCGCTTCGGATGCTTCGGACGATGAACCGGTAGTAATCCCTTCGTCCTGCCAGGTCTGGAGCAAACTGCTGTCACTGCAGACACGCCTGAAATCATTTCAGAAAGAAATTTTTGCCAAAAGTCATGCCTTCCAACACATCTGGCATGCTGCGCTTTTTGAAATGACCTCGGACGCAGGTCATCATCTTGTCCACCTTGGTCCAGCCCGACACGGGCCCCTCCTTGCCCAAGCACATCGCTTCCACGCGCTCGAACTCCAGCTTCAAGGAATCGCAGGACAACACTTCATCCGCGAAAACGCTCATGCACTTCAGCGCGGACGCCGAGTATGGTCCCTCGCGACAGGAGTGCATGACGAGCACTGCCACTGCGTTTTAACGACTTAGACAGGGTGGAAACAAACTGACAAACTAAAATGCCTGGCCTCGGACGCTTCCTTCTTGTCCTCGGCCTTGCCACCCATCTCGTCTGTGTCGGTCGTCTTCACCTGCCTGAACCATTCCACCAAGGCTTGGTCGCCCTTCACTATGCCCTCCCTCAACAAGACTTCCTTGGTGTACATGACCTTTGCGGCCGCGGCCGTGAACGTCAACTTCATTGAGGCTTTGCTTTTGAGGGCTTCGTCCATGCGGAAGGTGGTAAGCATGACGGCAGACTCGGACGGACACACATACCACTTCAAAGGCATGGATGTAAAGGCCACGATCCACTCTTTGACACGCTCGGTCAAGTCCTGCATGAGACATGATGAGTTAAACAAAATGGCCTGCTCTAATTGCAAAACGTGTTGTGCTCAATGAGCGGTTTCACCTGAACTGGCATTAGCCAAAAGCTGTCCTTGGAACCAGGCTTCTCGCGGAACATCTTCTCGTACTCGGTCAGGAAGGCGACCATGCATCCGAGGACCATGTCCTCCCCATAAATCACTCGGACCTCCGCTTTTCCAGGATAGCTCATCATGTCCGGCGGCACCATCACAGCCACTTCCATGCCACCGATTCCTCTGGGTTGGGAAACCTCGGACTGCGAAAACTTCACTGCTTTGGGCACAGACATCCTCTGCGATGAGCTCGGGAGAAGCCAAAACATGCTCCTCAGTGCTTCGAATGCTCAGGCTCCAAGTGCAGTTTAACTTGACATGCTTGTCAATGTTCAGATTCCATGCTGCCAAAGGTTCCCGCCAGCAGTCATGCTCGGACCTTTCATCGTCCGGAGGCTCGACGGCACCAGGGGTGCGATCGTGGCACCGTCGGCCACGTTCGTCGGCCGAAGAAGCTCCTGTGTGCATTCCCACTGGACAATCAGGAGACGATGAACACGAAGATGACGAAACCGACTAGGGTTGGATTCTTGTGAAAGTGTTTCAGTTTACTTCTGGCTAAGACAACAAATTGAGTCTTCGGGTGCTTCCGGGCTCCTACGCTACTGTTCCGGCTTCGAGCCCTGTCATTGTTCAACGGGGATACTTGCAGACGGGTCTGGTGTGAGAAACGGTGCTGTGATAATACTTGCTGTGTCTGAATATCAATGAAATAACCTTGAGACATCGAATATCCAACCCCCTCGGGCTCGGCTTTTTTCACGCGCGGCTACTCAGTTGCTGCTCCATCAGCATGTCGACGCTTCCCTGCGTCTATCCCATGTGCCAGAACCAAACTTTCTATCGCCCACCACTGCAGCTAAGATCTACAACCTAAGACAACCTAGGACTGCGAATCACGCTGTAATCAAGTTAGATGACAACAATCTGGATTGGGCTTGCAGAACATTTGGTCGCAGCACAACCCTCGGTCATTCCGTGCTTCCCCGGGAATGTCTGGCATCAAGCAGGCTCGGACTGTACAAGTTCGACATGCACTTATGCAGACTCGGACTTGGTGATGTTCTGCAGACACATGCGGTTGATCCAGCTCCACCATTCGGTGCGGCCTGCTTTGTTGGGGCCTAATGCCCGCATAGTCTTGCCGGAACAAATGACTGCAGTATTTGGCGACTTCCTCGTGGGCTCGGCTTTGAGAATTTCCCACTTGCTGTCGCTCCTCTGCGATAACTCCACAATCAACTTGGCCAATCCTGGGTACTTGCCGCGGAACTCAGACTCTAGCCAAATTTTCCTTGTTGCAAGGCTGCACTGAAAACCATCAGGAATAACTAACTTAACAGTAAAAATAAACACAAGTTACCCTGTCATCGGCAAGGAACTGTGTGCTCCGAGCCTGCACCCCCCCAGCGAAGCAGACTCGCTTGTGCTTAGTTACATCGGCGCCTTCGCAGATGGTCTTGCCCCGCAACATGGCCTCGGCCGCTTGCCAGCTCGGAGTGTTTAGATTGTCTACCACCACCAAGTCGGCCAAGGCAACCTGGTCAACCAGAACTTGTCGCGGGCCCAGTTCCGTCTTCGCCGCTGTGGCCTTCGGCAGGACATAGACTCTTGCATTCTCGAGGCTGGGCTTTTTGCTGGGCTGGCTTAACTTGTCCAGCAGGCGCCGCTGTCGAGCAGTGACTCTTCCACGTTGGCCTCTGTGGAGCTTCGTCTTCAAAGCGGCTGTTGTTTTCGGGCGGAGTCCTTGTCCATGTGTCTCGGTCGCTTCCGCCACCTTGGCTGCCTGTTTTTCGGCCAAGGCTCTGTGTAGATTGGTGTGACATTCACTCCAACATGACTTCTTCGCCTCGGCCGGGATCCTGGTGCCAAACATACTGCCCGATGCTGTGTCTTTCTCGGACAACTTTCTGGTGGCAAGTCTCTGATCCTTGATCAACGTTGCCTCGGATCTCTTGTGGCATTTCCGTCTAACTCCTCGGGCCAAGGTCCCCAGCTTTTTGTCGCCATAAGCACCACGAGGCTGCCCAAAATACTCTACGTAGAGACGTTTGGCCAGTTTTACAAGAGGCTGCGGCACTCCGTTGCTCACAAGCTCGGACTCTTCCATCTCCGAGATCTGAAGTCGGTCGCCTGGGAGCCAAGAAATTAGAAACACAAGCTGGCCCTGGCTTCGGGCCGCAACATGTCGGTCTGAGTTTAGGGACGTGTCTTCAGGGAATTGAAAATCCGGCCGAGGCACGAAGACGCAAAAGGGATTGCTGGGCGACGCGCTTTGCACTCTGACGCTCTGCTTCAGAGAACTGACTCTCAACGCCCTGTGTGGAGGCGAGGCTGGCCGCGTAAAAGCGAACCATAATCAACCTCTGCGAAGTTGCTGCGACTAAGAGACACAGGCATCAGCAACGCAAACTTCAGGTTTGAGTTTTAGGGTTTAATAAAACGGATGTGGAATGTGGCGATTTCACCATAAGTAGATTCTGTACGGGGCTTGCCTGACCTAACTCAACTCCGAGCAGCAGGTGATCCACACGGGTGTGACTTCGGGCGGCTTTGTGCCGCGCGAGCACATTGGCCCAAGCCTCCAGGTTGTTCCCCAGCTTACCCCAGGCATGCAAAAGCGAGTCCTGTGTTGCCGAACATGTGTCTGCTGGGGTGACTCGGGCGACGAACAACACAAACGACCAAAGAAAGGGGGATTAACACAGAACAGCTCAAAGGGAGCGTGATTGTCCTTGACGTGGGTGAACTGCAGCCACGCCTCCTCAGGCGGCAAGTGCAGGCATGACGCCAGCTTGCGGAACTTTTGTTCCAGCTGGGCAACCCTCTCTTTCCGAGCATGATTGCAAGCAGACGTCGGCCCGAAGTTCTTCTCGATTGAATACCACATGGCCAGCGACAGTGACTCCAGCCTCAGCATGAGCTCTTGGGCCGGGAACTCTGCTCGGACGCCTGCCAGAATGGTCTTGACCTTGGCAATGGGATGTTGTCACAGTCTTGACTTGCCTTAACCTATCAATCCTTGGGATCAAACCTGATGGTTAGTGACAAGTAACTCTAACAACGGAAAAAGACGAATCCATGTTCACTCACGACCAAGAGGCGAAAACGCAGACTCGGTCGTGCACTCGGGCGAGGACTTCTTGCCGCTCTCGGGCGCAAGGCCATGACAGACCATGTCTTTCTCCGCCGAAGGTGAAAACCTTTGCCTCCTTGATCTGGTCCAGAATGCGCCTGGTCCATGATCCTTGATTCTCGGACGACCATATGCGACCTTCCAGGAATAGCCGACGCATCTGGGTCTCAAACTCGTCCACGCAGGCGCTCGCAAGGCTCGGGTCGCTGAACTCCGCTTCCACCTGCCTGCAAAATGTCAAGGTCATCTCCTCAGTTTCGGTATACAACACTCAGGTTACAACTCGAACGCGACAGTGGCTGTCACTCAGTTCAATTACAGCAGCCGTTCCTAGGGTTGTTGGGGGCTTGGGGTGTATGCTTTGCTCTTGATTGAAGCCTTGGAAACCTTGAGTCAAGTGACTTCGGCGTCTGACACGCAGGCCATCAGCGCCACCCGCTCGAACGTCAGTTGCCTCAAACGCTTTGCAGCCCACTGTCGTTCCTCGGCCGTCGTCGCCTGCTCCGCGTGTTTGGACAGTGCCGTGCAAGTCCCCAAAAGATGCAATAGGAGGCGTCGTTCGGGGTCCACCTGAGACTGAAACCGTGCCTTGCCGTACCGCAGGCTAAGCATGACAGGAATCGGATCCGCGCTCGTCTCTTGTTGCGCCTTACAAGCAATCTCGAAACGCTCGCGAAAGGCTGCATTGAACGAGATGCTCTTTGCGACGGAGGATGGCCCAGACACGAACTCCTCTTTGAAGTTCCTAATCTCCTGGTCGCAATCGACAGCATTCTTCAAGGCTCCCACAATGGAATGTCCTCGGTCGCGTATGATTGCACGTAAGTTCGAGAGGCCCGAGCTGGACAGCAGTCTGCAGGCCTTCTGTGCGTACGGTGCCCCGTCCGCGGTCACGCACGTCACGCAGGCTTTGAACTCTGCAGCTGAAGCCTCATCGAGGACGCCTCGGTCGTCCAGGGCGCCTGTTCCTCGGCTGAAGAACTGTTTCACGACGTTCAGGATGGCGTCGCTGTATTTTTCGGCTCCGCCGTGCGTCTCCAGCGCGCCCAGCAGCCCGCGTTTGCGCTCGAGCTTCTCGTTGACAGCGGTAAAGCGTACTGCCACGATCTTGTCTCGGGCATCATGGGCAAGGCTGATGTCTGTCTTTCGGCCGGACTTAGCAAGCCAGTCACGAAGTTGTTCTCGCTTGGCCTCTGCAATAGCCCAATGCATTTGACGCAGTTTGTGCGGCGACAGAGTGACCTCCTCGGACGAGCTCTTGCATTGGGCTTGTTTGGCAACACGAAAGGCAGTGAGCCATGAGTTCACCGGAAGGGCATCTGGCCCTGTCCCCAAGTGTGCTGGGCCTGCGACCGAGGTGCTGCTGGCCCTGCCAGAGCTGTGACTGTCGACTGAGCTGGTAGCTGCAAGGTCTGGGCGACGCTGGAGCGACTGTGTCTCAACAGTACGCATAGGCTGCTTCTGTGCTTTCGGACGTGAGACTTCCATGTACACAGTGCAGTCGGGCCGTCCAGCAGCCGCAGGCGCCGCAGGGAGCAATGCAGCGTCGGGCAACATGAAGGGTTTCATGGCCTCTTGGTGCTGTGCTCCTGGTCAGGTGGCCATATCAACGTCTTTGGGTTGCATGTAAAGTTAAAGGCTTATAGATCAATGTACTGCGCAATACTGACATATAGTATGATAAGTCAGCTTGTTCCTCGGGCGTGCTGTATGACATTCTGGAACTGCAACCAGCTGCACACCTCAAACCGGCTCCAGCGGGTGTGGCTAACACGTTTCTCGGCCGCTGCTTGCGCGCAAAAGATGCAGCCTACGCCCCAGTCCTGGCCGTCGCTTAAAGGTTTTTAGGGTCTGTACGTTTTGCGGTTTAGGCTTCCGGGTTTGGGGTTGACAAGCCAAGCTTATATACATTATAATATACAAGTATAATACACATACACATACATATACTACGTTATTCTTTAATATTGATTGTCGCGTGCCGAATGTCTCCGCCCCACTGGCTCGGTCGCATCGACAGCCAGACGTGGCCCG